ACCAGTGAAAACGAGAGAGGGCCGTTAACACGTGGGCAGTGGAGAGAGTAGCAGGAATCAAGGAGATGATAACAAGCCACAAAGTCAATTGACTGCATCGGCTGGGATAGACTAGAAATGCCGCTACTCCTCCCAGGCAGTTGGTTTTAAAGTCTGGGTGGGACAGGAATGAAAGTGGGGTGCAACTGCACCCCTGCACCCCCTGGTTGAGGTTTTGGGAGGCCTGTCTTCCCTTTGCGGGGAGAAGGAAGAAAGGGAAGGCTCAGTAACAGCACTCAAGGCAGCGCCTCTACACAGAGCGGGGCAGGGGGTCTCCAGGTGGGTACAGCAGAGCACCTGGTCATCAGGCATAATAATGCCTCACATGGATCCAATGCTTTCCTCTCTCAAAGCGCCCTGCCAATGCCGGCACTCGGATCCGGAGAGACCGGTGACTGGACTTCATTGGGAGAAATCAGTCCATTAGCTACTACAAACCAGCAGAGGACGATGCCTACGGACTGCGGCCCGTGTCAATGCAATACAATTTGTGACTCCAGAGCCTGGCTGAGGATGTTCACCCTGAGCTTTAAAAAGGCAGACGTAGCAGTCTCGCAGCTGTGTGAAATAAAATGGTCCCGGCAAAATAATATCGTCTCATCGCCAAGCGCCGCCCTGGCATGTTGGGCTGTGCTAATCTAAAACAAGTGCTACTTCTTTGCTTTGAAAGAGCTCAGATGCAGCACAGCGAGAAGTGGATTCCCTTTTCCTAATGGCTTTGTTGGTAAATGCCTCAAAATTAGAATGACAATAGTTTTTCCCAGGCTTGTGGCCTTTCCTGTTTGTGAGGATTGGTCCTTGGGTCTCTCTGGGGATTTCTTTTGCTTCCCACAGAGGCTTCTTTACATCATGGAGAGATGATGGAGATGCTTTGGGCAGCTCTTTTGCTACAGCGGTGTCTTATACCTCACCGGCCCAATGAGGCTCATTACGTCCTACCAGGCATCTCACAATGGGGGCTGCTCATTCAACAGTAAAACTCCTAGGAGCGGTCTAGGTTTCTCCTGCTGATCTAGCCCAGAAGGTGCTAAACTCAGGTCGAGCATGTTTCAGATGATTCAAGATGCGAAGTCCGGCTCTGCACTCACCAGCTCTGTGCATCTCCCAGTTCCTTTGTCCGTTCCAGTGCTGGGTCCAGCTGGGCCCCAAGAGCAGCCACGAATACATTCAATCCCATCGTTTCTCCCCTCTCCTGCTTTGCTCATTAATCATACAGGCCATGACCCACGTGGCCTCTCCCTGCAGACACCCCCGCGACTTCGCAGGGCGCTGGGCAGGGAGTGGAGCAAGGCAGACCAGGGAGGGGACGAGTAGCAAAGGGGCACGTAGGGCAGGGAGCTGAAAGCAGAGCAGGGAGCAGAGAGCAGAGCAGTTGGCTGGCCCCCGGGCCATGGAGCAGAGCAGCACCCCTGCTCCTTCCCATCCACGTGGAGAATGGTTGCGAGGAGGGGAACGGGTCTGAAACCCCGAATGGAAAGACTTTGTAGGAGTCCGGCCTGGCCGAGTGCAGTCAGAAAGCCGTGGGCTCCTGCGAGGAGTGGAGATGTCCCTGTCCCCACCAAACCCACTTTCTCCCTCCCACATTTCAGGGACAGGTGCTTTGGGGATCCCCAAGGGGAGCTGCGGTTTATGGCTCCTATCTGAGCTGGGAGGGACCTCCAGAGGCCACATCTAGTGCGACCCTTGCCCGAGGCCGGATCAGCCCTGTGCAAACCATCCTCGATAAACCCAAACGACACCGTCGCTCCTGACGCAACACAAGACTTAGCACCTGAAGGCTGGCGGCTGTTGGACTCTGCTCCCGCCGTCCCCAGCCTGATACCTAGGACGGGGCCCCTCCAGGGCAGAGCTGGGCGCATCTGCAGGGGCTCAGCCAGGCTGGCACAGGACAGCGGGGGCAGAAGCAGCGTTACCCCCTGCCTCAGTGCCGGCTGCACCGCACGAGCCTACACCAGGCACCTGGCAGGTCAGGGGCTCCGTCAGCCCCTGCCGCTGCCTGCTCCAGCTGCAGGGTGCTGGCAGGGGGAGGGCCCCCCACCCTGCCGAGACGCTGGGGGCACAGAGGTAGCAGGCATTGCTGCCTCTGCCCCCACTGGTCTGCCCAAGCCTGGCTGCAGCAGCCACGAATCTGCCCGGCTCAGACGCTGCGGCAGGCCCCTGGTTAGCGTGCTTACTTGGAGCTCTGTCCTGCTCCGACCGCCCCCCCTCGCCCGCAGCCAAGCTCTCCCCTGCAGATACAGCGTATCTGGCAGAAGTCTCCTTGCTGCCAGGACTCCAGTCAGGGTGCTCAGGGTGCATTTCTGATCCAGCCTGTTCAAAACCCATAAAGGCACCTGATTTTTGTAACGCGTCACCCTTATACCCCTGACGTGCAGCAGCAGCGAGGAGGAGGGGGACCTACCACTTTCTCCGCTGAGTTTTTCAGGCACTGGAACAAGCTGGACTAGCTAAATCCATTTATGCGCTTGCTAGCTGGAATAGCCTGGCTCCTCTCTGCTTCTGCCCTTACCTGAAAGGGGTCCGAGAGAACGGCGAGCTTGCAAGGAGCTCGTCTACCAAGCTCGTGGCACCAGGTGCACGCCTGGTCCCAGGAGATGCTGGACAGCTTCCTGGTAGGCTACATTTGGAGAGGAACCAGAGGCAAGGATGTCTAAGGGGGGGATCTCCGTTATGGCAGCAGCGGCGTTAGACAAGCTTTCAAATGCAAGGCATTTCTCTTCATCAGGGCCGAGCGGCGGAAGCCAGCCCGGCGCCGTCCGATAAAAATTAAATGCAGTGGGTCCGACAAAAGAGCTCGCCCATGGAAATCCTGGCTTCTTGCATAGTTCCTGGGCCCTCAAGGCTACAACATGGCTCTAACGCTACCACGGAAAACCAGACACGTTTATCCCTATAACAAGATGCTTCCTTTTTTTTTTCACAGCACGTTTCAGTCTAAGAAATGCATTCGCAGCTCGAAAGGGCGACACAGCTCAGCTGATGGAAGAGGCTGTCACAACAGCCGCGGCTGACGCAGCCCGAGGCCTGCACGCTGCCTGCTCCTCGCGTCTGATCATCCCAGCAGCCAGCCCTCCCCGCAGAAGCACTGGAGAGACGGGGCAGACAAGCAAGGCTGCCGGCCTATGTCTCCCCAGAGTCAGCTGCTCGGGGGTGGACGCTGGGACTGAGCCCCAGTCTGCTTCGAGGAAGGCAGTCACTTGACCCCCCAGAACGGATCAGGATCCAGATGCAACTGAGCCATCAAACAAAGGGACGCGGAGACGGGCTCTAGCTCTTCCCTTGGTTGGGGAGGAGGGGGACTGGGACGGGGCTGTCCTTTCCTGGGCAGGGAGAGTCCAGTGACAGCAAAAGGAGGAGGCTCATCCTCTAAATATTCATGATGAGCCAGCAGGTCCCTAGGAAACCCCTCCTGACCCAGGCAGGACCAGGCCTAACATTTCCCAGCCCCACCCACAGGCTTTGTTCTGGTTTCCAGGGCCTGCCCACTTCCCCGACAGCTGCCGAGACACAAACAACCCAACATGGTGCCTGGGGGCCCCTCGTCCAGCCTGGACACTGTGTGGGGAAGTCCTGCCCGGCCCCACGCCTTTGGGAGCACCCTGATGCAGAGGGCGGATGGGAAAGGCTGCCCAGAGCTCCCTGAGCTTCTCCAGCCTCCGCAGCAGCTCCGGATGGGGGGTCACAAGCCCCAGGGGCCCATAATCCCACCCCACAAACCTGCAGCAGGCTGGACCGTGCCTCTGCTGTCCCCCGGTAACCGGGCCTGCGCCATGTTAATGTTCCCTGCACAATAGAAGTGAAAGCGAGTGGGGGGCAACTTCACCCCGTTTCCTGCAGGGATGATCTGCCCTGTTTGGCTCTCGTTGGAGGGTGACAGCTCCCGCAGGGCGGCGAGGCGCAGCAAGTTGCTGCATGCTTGCTGCGGGCACACGCGCAGTAGGGCCCATGTGCCTGGAGCTGTACAATATCACCTGTCTGGGACTGCAGGCACGGCTGGGGGAAGGTTTCGGGTCTGCCGCTACAGTGCAGGCAAGCACTGCCTCCGTGCCCAGCACGGTGCGGGGGACACAGCACGGTGGGGGCCATGCCTCTCAGAGATGGGGAGCCCAGGCCCCGACCACCTCTGCTCAACCACTTCAAGGTGACATGAGGTGGCTGAGAGGTTTCCCCAAGAGAAGCAGTGAAAACCCTGCCCTCTGCAACAAGACACTAGGACATATGGCACTGAGACCATCACAGCAAGAGAGGGGCTAGTCACGGAGGAGCCCCTTTCCGTAACAGTGGGGGATCACACCCGCTTTCTCCCACTGCAGCTACCCGGCCTGCCCCGCAGCAAAGGAGGCCTGGGAACAACTTCCAGACTCGCAGCAACTAGGATTTCACCGTCCTGTATAATTGATGAGTGCGTTCGGGTCCTCGGACCTGGGAAAGGCACCTGTTATCATTCCACACCTACACAGATACATTAGAGGCTCCCCGGGCAGCCTGGAAACACTGATCACCACTCTCCTGGCTTGGACATGGTGCTGCCTAAGAGCTTCTCTTTGTTACTCAAGGGGAAAGAGGTACCAGGGAAGCCCATAATGGGAGCTCGGTCCCCCGGGGGGGAAAGCAATACTTGAGCAGCCCAGCACCCAGGAAGGGAAGCACCCTCAGATGCCCCCAGACTGAAGCAATCGTGTAAACCACTGGTTCTCACACTTTTTAGACTCGAGGCACCCCTTGGAAAATACCAGCTCCTGGCTTTCACTTGTTTTTTAACTACAGAAAAATACTAGAGCCATTCTTCCCTTGCAAATAACTCAGCAAGCCCGCAGCAGGTCAGAATGGTTTTAACACTCTGGATTTCTACTTGACGTTTCTAGGCTGATCGTCTGAATTACGTTTGCACACCCAACACTGTGTGGCACCCTCGAAAGGATCTGCAGGCCCCCAGGTCGGGACTGGTGTCAACCCACCTAATGATGGCGACCGCACGGCGGGGTTTGCTTATCAAATAAACGTTCCTCCACATTTATTATCAAAAGAGAATCGACTGAAAAAGCGGTTAGAGTCCTACGCCGGCAACGTCTCCTGTACATTCGGACCAGGACTGACCCTACACAAGCGGCGGCTGTTAGCGGTACGTGCTTTTGCGGCATGGCGCTTGCTTTCATTTTATTTAATTATTATTATTTTTTTTTTTAAACTGACCCGTCCGTCTCCGCCGAGTGTTGTGCTACCGTCGGCCTCATGCCGAGGCTCCCACCCGGGTCTCTGCCGAGTGTTGTGCTACCGTCGGCCCCACGCCGGGCTGCCCGGGGTGAGGTGGGGGGCGGGGCTCTCCTAGTCACCCGCATGCGTCCGCAAGTGGTACTTGAGGGACTGTTTATATCGGAAGCACTTGGTACAGTGCGTGCATGGGTAGGGCCTCTCCCCGGTGTGGGCCCGTTGGTGCTCCAGCAGGTGATGCTTCTGCGTGAAGTTCTTCCCGCATTCCCCGCAGTGGTACGGCCTCTCCCCGGTGTGGATGCGCTGATGCTCCAGGAGGTGGTGCTTGCGGATGAAGCCCTTGCCGCATTCCCCGCAGGCATGGGGGCGCTCGCGGGTGTGGATGCGGTAGTGGTTGGTGAGCTTGGACTTCTCGCCGAAGGTCTTCTCGCACTGCGTGCACTTGTAGGGGCGCTCGCCCGTGTGGGTGCGCTGGTGCCGCAGCAGGTGGGAGGGGCGGCTGAAGGCCTTCCCGCACTGCGGGCACAGGAAGGACATCTCGCTCTTGCCGGCGTGCACGCGCTGGTGCATGATGAGGCTGATCTGGAGCCGGAAACTCTTGCGGCACTCGCCGCAGGTGTACGGCCTCTCTCCCACGTGCGTGATCTGGTGTTTGCTTAGGCTGGACTTGTGGCTGAAGCTGCTCTCGCACTCGGAGCACTTGTAGGGCTTGCCGGCTGGCGGGGGCCGCGGCTGGGGCTTGAGGCCGCGCTGGTCGCCAAAGGGGTCGGGGCGCCGGGCCACGCCGCCCGCCCGCCCTCCTTGAGGTGGTTCCGCTGGTGGATGATGTAGTTGATCCTCAGCATGAAGCTCTTCCCGCACTCCGGGCAGATGTACGGCCGCTCCCGCGTCCGGTTCCTCTGGTGCATCACGGCCGCCTTCATCTCGCCAGCGTCTCTCTCGCAGGCGGTTGGCTTCCCCAGCAAGCTGCTAGACAGGCTCCGGGGCTGCATTTTGGAGCTGCAGTGAGCCTCGCGTGGCACCCCCGGGTCGTGGTTCTGGAAAACCTGCGGCTCCACCCGCCCCGAGAACATCGTGCAGGGCTCTAGGCTGTCGGGGTCCTCTTCCTCCTCGTCCTCCTCGGTTTTGATCACGATCCCATCATCTGGGGGAAGGAATTTGAAACGCAATGCACACCGCATTAATTTAAGGCTCTTATGATACAGAATCCCTCGACACACGCTGGAAATGACCCGAAGATTTGTTAGGAGCAAATCAGCCGAAACCACTTTTGGCTTGGCTCCGGGAGGGCTGGGGGGGAGGGTGGTCAGAGCAGGTTCAGCCCATCTGGGACTCTTCAGGAGCTACTGGATGATGCTGAGAGGGAATCCAGGTGAGTTGCAGCTACCCAAATCCCATCCTGCTGTCCCCCAGCAGGCAGTTGCTGTTTGCTAAGACTCTGTTTGCAGCAGGTCAGGGTTTCAGCTGTTTGCTGCATGCAGATCTATTACAGTCTGCCTGACACAGAACCGCTCGTTAATGCAGCTCTGTGGGAACTGCTCCCAGGACAACGGCTTCAAGAGCCTTCTGCTCTCCTAGCAAAGAGTCTTGCAGTCCCCTGTCCTCATGACTGTGTCTCAGGGATGTGCTTGGGGGCAGAAGGGGACTGTCCTGAAGCATGGTCAGAACCAGACCCTATACACAGTACATGCAGCTATCTTTTACTAGTGTTTTAAACCTTGGGGGGTCAGGCATGGATCTGCTTCCACAGGAGAGAACTACACGTACGGTAGCGAGGGAGACAACTGAAATCCCATGTGTTCGGGATTGCCTAGGACAGAGCTCCTTGTATGGAAGAAACAAGCTGACTAAATGTTTTGTTGTCAAAAATGGTCCTGACTCGCTCTTTTAGAGCAGGGGCTGGGGAGTGAAAAGAAACAAAAGGCATCTCAGCCTAGAGCAACATCGCGCTACCGACCCTCGAGAGAGACAAGAAAAGGAGGTTTCAGAGGGGGAGGACATGGTACCGATCTTCCCAAGAGCCAACAAGCACTCAGTACAGTCGCTGATACCACGCTGCAAGAAAGGACTTTCAGCCAAGTCTGAGTTTTGGATGGTGAAATCATGCACAGGATGGAGGGGCCCACTGTTCTAGTCTGGGTGTATTTTAGTTTTGCTTTAGGATTTTCCTTCTGGAGTCTCCCACGCGAGAGGAGGATGTGTTAGGAACCCTAACGGGGCTGGCCTTTTTGGCCTCACGAACAAGGCAGGAGCAGAATGGAAAGTGTTTGCACTGGTCCCAAGACTCAGGTATGAACTGCCCCGGTCTCTCTGGGACGCTGAGCATAGGGGGCCAGGATGCAGGAAGAGGTGGCCACTGCTATCCACAAGGCTTGGGCTTTGATCAGGTGGGAATAGCACCTCAAGTCCCAGGCACACCTATAGCTCTGCTGCAGTCAAGATGTCTGCTTCACTCAAGACAAACACAGAAACTGCCTCTCTCATGGCCCCTCTTAAGGGATGAGGCCCTTTCAGAGATGACCAGAGTTTAGCTGCTACACAGCAGTGATCCTAACACATGAGCAGGTACCAGCTGATCTTGGCTCGCCCTATGTACACAGCGAAGCTCCTCCTCTCCTGGGAAGCACTGCCCGATGGGCATGACCACGTGAGAGCACAGCCCTTGGTGCACTTTATGTTTCCATCTGTTTCAGACTAGCTGGAGATGGAGAAGCATGCGTGTTTGATGTGAGCTCGCCCCATCCCCTGTAGCACGCACCCACGGGGTCTCTTACCTGTGCAGTTCCCCTGGTGCACAATGACTCTCTTGATCTCGCCGTAGTCTGTCTCGTACTCTGCCGACTCCTCCAGCCCGTTTCCGGGGAGGTTTTGCGGCGGCGTCACCGAGCCGTACGGGCTCTCGCAGGTCGCTTCCTCGTCTGGGCTCTGGAAGCTCTCCTCCGATTGCCCCGACATCCCGTGTAGCTCCAGGTTTTCGGGGCTGTCCTCAGAATGAAGGTCTTCGGTTTTGATCACCACCCTTATACCCGCTGCGAACGAGGCGAGAACCCAAACATCGTTTGTACCAGTGGCTCAGGTTGAAGGGAACTGTTCTTGCTAACCTGTTACTGGTTCATGGTGGAGTCATGCCCCAGGAAGCCGACTTCAGGACACTGTGACCTCCACCGTTTGGGGGCTGTTTTGCCATTTTTGCAGAAGACAATTTGCTGTGATTCTGACTCCCCCTGGCTGAGACCTTAACTGAAGCCTCAGCCCCTGCTCATCTTAAATGGCATGTTCTTCCTAGATCCCCGTGCTCCCAGATTCGGGAGGGATCTGGCATCTTGTAGCCAGTATCAGCTCTTCTTCCTGGGCCATCTCACTCCAACCCTCCACCTCCTTTGACAACTTCCACTACACCCCTAGCCCAGCATCAGGGGACTCTCTCCCCAACCCCCTCCCCAGCCTCCCTGTTCCCCTGCGTGGTCACTCTTGCTGCTTTCATCTTGACCAGCTCTCTGCACAGGCCAGGGTGCAGTGGTATCCCTGGATCCCCAGGAATAAGGGTTTAAAACTCAAGTTTATCTTCCCACTCGCACTTGGACTGGTGCATTCACAGAGGGTAGGTAACTGAGTCCTGGGTCAGGACTCTCAGGACGCTCGGGTTCAAGCCTTGGCAAAGCTATGACCTTGGTCAAGTCTCTTCGTGTTCCTGGGGCCTTGAGTCACCTCTGCAAGGTGGGGACAGAGCTTCCCTGATTCAGAGGGACCCTGCTGGCTGTGAGGGGTTCGAGTGATGGGTGAGGAATAAGGATCTAAGAGTGCCAGCCTGAGAGGCAGAAGGCGGCTGGCTCCACTCCCAGAGAGAAGCCTGGCTGCTTCCCCAGGTGGAGGGTTTCTGTTCATTTCTGTGCTTACATTAATGGAGTCTCCTTTGCTATTAAAAAGCAACACTTGCAGGAAGATCTTGCTGGCAGCAGCAATGCTGCATTCCCTGCTGAGCCCCTGGCCCAGCTCCCAGGGCCTCACACAACACCCCGCAGGGGCACTTGCTCCACGTGCTGATCTGGATCCAAGCAGAGCAATTGCTCATCCACACTGGGCCCACTTGAGCCCACAACAGACTCGGATCCCTCCTCTCCTCTTGCTGCCCCTGAACTGCCTCCCTCCAGTCCTTCCTTCCTCCCTCCCTCCCTCCAGCAAGGAACATCCCAGGCTTCGCTCCCAACTGCACCCCTGCCTGTCAGTCTCAGCCCCACCCCGTTACTTCCCTCTGCAAGGGATGGTGCTATGACTTCCTAAACAACAAGGATCACTACCCTCATGCGGTGTCACGTTCATCTGCTACTCACCTGCACTGGGGTCTGTGATGATTTCTCTCTCCTCCAAGTCCTGCTGATCCCCAATGCTTGACTCCCTGCCTTGTTCAACCTGAGACAGAGCGCCTGGCTTGGAAATTGCATAGTCTATTCCATGGAAGAGAAAGAGAGACTGCTGCATGGGAAACATATTAACATTGCCCCGACCTTTCCCCAGGGGAGACGATGGGAAAGACTCAAGAGTATCCAGAGTCTGCATCAGAGAAATGCATTTCCCAAGAGGTGGCTGGACTCCCTAGGCTCTCAGGTGGAAGGGGCTCCGAGGCCCCACTGCACGGTATGAAAAGACAGCCACAGCTGAAAACAAAACCGTGCTCCTCTGAGAATTTTCCCAATTCCTGGGTGATGTGTGGCCTTATAGGGCACATGCACAAGACAGGGAGGCAAAGATGCATCCTGGCACAGATGTGCCCAGGCCTGTCCTGACCATGTGCTCCAAACCCAGAAATCAGTGGGTGAAGATGCCCCTCTGCAGCTGCTCGAGACAGGGGACAGCTTCACCAACGCAACAAGGATTCTGGATTTGAAGCGTGCATGCTGGAGGGGCATGGGGGGCAGTGCATGCCCAGGAGCACCCAAGACAGGATGTGGCGCTGCGTGGTGCAAACAAAGGAAATGAGATTTTCACTATCGGCTGCAATGCTGTGGGGGGTGGGCATGTGTCACCCATTCTTTCAACTGCCTCTGATGACTAGAACTGAAAGAGAGTAGGCAAAACAATAGTTCTGTGTCTGCCACCCCCGGTCTGTGTACCGCGTACACTCGACAGCGCTGCACTGCCCAGTTTCACTATTTCCCCACCTGGTTTTCCCCTGGCCTGTATGTGGAGAGACTCGTGCCTCCTTTTATCTGGCAAACGGATGCAATGTGAGCAGGCAGCACAGGCTTTTCCCACGTGTCCCAGCCCTGGCCAAAGAATCACATACAACACCGAAAAGGGCTACGCCCCTGGCATTGCCCACAGCTGGAAAGCCATGGGAGTAGTCTCAAATGCACCCATGTGTGTCCTAAATCTCCTCTGAAATGGAACTGATCATCATCACAGAGGGGCTGACGATGCCACTTCTGATTCCCCAAAAGCCCAAAGCTACGGGCCACCAGAAAGGGGCTTCAAACACACAAGCAAAACCTGCCCCTCACCCAGAGAGATCAAAGACTCGTAATTGCTCCTCATCACGTTTCTGTACAGCTCCTTCTGCCATTCCTCCAGCTTCTCCCACTCCTTCTCGTTGAAGTAGACCGAGACGTCGTCAAAGGTCACCGGCACCTGGAACCACAAACCACACGTTCAGCACCCTCCCAAACACCTGCTATCTTGAACGTTGCTGTGTCAAACGATGGAGAAAGCTGCGAGTCTCCAGCTTGCTTGGACATCAGTTCTTGATCAGCAAGATGAAGGGGCCACAGCATGTTTCTGGAAATACCCCTCCAGCCCACGTTCCCAGTGATGACAAACCTCAACCAAAACCGTGGCTCTAAACGTTAGCGGGCTTAGACGCTGGATCAGCGTCACTCCCAAATGCACAGACCTGACCGCAAGCTTACCCACCTCCAGGGAACAGGAACACCATTAAAATTAGTGCCGTTATACAAGAAACAAAATAGGGTGAATGATATCTGAATAAGGGAGCATGGTTTATCCTGGTCTCTCCCGAGGATCTGACATAAAACCCCCAAGATCGATTACCCCGGAAGTCGGGGAAACTCAGCTGTGGGTGCGAACAGGACGGCTTCGAACAGTCACTTGCTATCACACCAGCCTGGTTCAGATGTGTTTACTGTTTCCACACGCACACAAAGACAAACCCAGATACACACTGATAATCATTCACTGGATGAACTCCCTGTCGGTTCGCAAATCGTACTCAAACACAGCGCGGCTTTCCACGTCACTTGCCAAATACCCATTTCCACGGAGAGTTTCTGGGTGCAGCCGGCAGCATTTTGGTGCACCTGGATGGAGCCGGCTGGACCGGACGTCCCGAGCTTTGCTCCGGTTGCCAGCGGGATGAACGCGACTCTTAGAAACAAGCTCCGGAGTGAATATTCATGCCTGCAAATTTGCCGCTGGCTTTCTGCGAACATGAAGGCGCGTTCGCGTGTTTCCACGAGCGCTGCCGTCGGCGAATACGTCTCGCTAGAAGACGCGTGGGGTGCAAATGCATGAATTCTCCGACAGAAGCTTGTTTTCACCTACAGATTATTTATAACCCACCTCAGTCCTAGCTACCTCTTTTCCCCCACTCCCCTAGTCTGTCTCCATCCTTCTGCGACACCTCTTCCCCAATCTTTCCCGCCGTCTCATTGCGTCCTGAATCGCAAGCTGCAATAGCGGGGAACCCGGTGTGATGCCCCCCGCCCCTGCACATCCCGGCAAACTGGATCTGAGGATGCCCCGTCACACGCATTGACATGGGAGACGTTACTGGGATGGGCATGGCGATCTCTCGAGGTCCCTTCCAGCCCTAACGTCTACAAAGTCCTCCTTCGAGGTGGGGAACCTGTACGGCGGGCGCCTGCCGCGGCTGTGTTCCCTCCAGGAGCCGCCCGCGGCTGTGTGCGCGCGCTCACCTTGGGCACTTCGCCCTTGGCGCCAGGCGGCAGGCGCAGGATCCAGAAGTTCCTGTTCTTGAGCAGGTTCTCCATGTTCTCCAGGCGCCGCTGCAGCAGCCCGTACTCCTGGATGAGGCTGCCCAGCGCCGCGCACTTGCTGTCCAGCCGTCTGCCCAGCTCCGCGGCCGTTTTCTCGCAGTCCACGATCTTCTTCTCGGCCGTGCCCGTCCGCCCCTCCAGGTCCGAGAGGCGCGCGGCGTGGGCGTCCACCGACCGCTGCACC